CACATCATCATCATCATCATCATCATCATCATCATCATCATCATCATCATCATCATCATCATCATCATCATCGTCATTATCATCATCAGCAGCAGCAGCAGCATCATCATCATCCCCCTCCTCCGCCTCCTCCTCATCCTCCTCAGCCTCTTCCTCATCAGCATCATCAGCATCTTCATCGTCATCATCATCATCAGCAGCAGCATCATCATCATCCTTCTGCTGCTCCTCCTCCACCTCCTCCTCCTCATCCTATTCCTCCTCATCCACCTCGTTCCTCCTCTTCCGCCTCGTCTGTTTATTATGTTTGTTATTGTTACTAGTCGTATAATTCGTAATACCATTGTGCTTCTTCTCGCTACTACCAGTAATGCTACTAATCTCCGTAGTTGTATAATTATTCGTATTATTAATGTATCACGGGTGCTACTCTTATTAGTGCGAGTAGGATTCATAATAATATTATGTATCGTCATCATTGCCCTTCTTTTTGCAATCGAAGTATTACTAAAACTAATGTTACTATGGTGAGTATTAGTATCAGCACTGCTAATAATGGTACGATTAATCTTAGTCATACTAACGTTAATACTATGATTAGTAATATCATTATTATTGGTAAAAGTAGTGCTATTCTAATGTACCGTATCGTTACTATTCTTATCAGTATTATTAATTATGTTATCTATGAGTTGTCCTCTTCTTCCTCCTCCTCCTCCTCCCTTTCCTCCTCCTCCTCCTCCTCCCTTTCCTCCTCCTCCTCCTCCTCCTCGTCCTCCTCCTCCTCCTCCTCCTCCGCCTCCGCCTCCGCCTCCTCCTCCTCCTCCGCCTCCTCCTCCCAGATCGGGGACCCGCTGGGGCAGCAGCCGCCCCTCCGCGGGGGGGAGAGGTCCGACCCGTCGCCCTCGTCCTCGGCGGCTGGCCTGGCGGAGGCGCCTGGCCCACGGACGCGCGGAAAATCCCTCGACGACGACGACGACGACGACGACAGAGACGACGACGACGACGACGACGACGACGACGACGACGACGACGACAGAGACGACGACGACGACGACGACGACGACGACGACGACGACGACAGAGACGACGACGACGACGACGACGACGACGACGACGACGACGACGACGACGACGACGACAGAGACGACGACGACGACGACGACGACGACGACGACGACGACGACGACGACGGGCGTCCACGCAAGTTCCACCCACCTCCCACACGAGCCCGTGCTTTGCCCCTCGCTCCCGTGGCCCAGCCTCGACCCGGGCAGGAAAGCAGGGGCCCGAGTCCAGGGCTCGGTGTGGTTGTCCTCCTCGTCTGTCGTTACATCCCCCATCTTTTCCTCCACCTCCCATCAAACCTTCAAAGAACAACCCTTTGATCCCCCCCCCTATCTCATCCCCCGTCCTGAAGATCCTTCCCTTCCTTCTCTCCTACCTCCTCCTCCAGCCCCCTCGCTCATTCATGTTTCCTCACTCCTTCCCTCCCTCGCCCCCTCCCCCCTAAGTCATCTTTATCCTCGTGCTGCTGCTGTTCCTCAACATCACCACCAGCATCGTCCAGAACGGAGCATAACAGTGAAAGCCTTGCGCGGTGAATCCTCCGTTCGGCAGAACCGCGATTCCCAAACTCACACGTGAGTGTCGGTACGGCAGGAGTCGCTCGAGCCCGTGATGCAGCCACCGACCCCGTGGCCCAGTCTTGGGTTTGGGGGAAGCAGAGGCCAGAGTTAGGGGGCTCTGAAAATCTTATACGTTACGACGACGCCTTCTGTGGCTGGCTCCGATGCCTCCAACAGATCCATGCCCCAGCACTCTGGACGTAGGTGGTTCAGGGAATAAACGCCCCACTCGTCGGCTTGGAGGGTGAGAGAGCCACGGCGTGAAAGGCGGAAGAGCCTCGAACCTAGGGCAGGTTCGTGTCGGGGCGACTTGGGCGTTGGTTTCGCACACCGGAAGGACCCTTCAACCTTGAACGATCGGGGCTCTCCGAAAGCTCAGATCGTTCAATGTTGGACGAGTGGCCGCTGACGGCGTTCAACTTGGAACGCCTGCGGTGCGGTCGGCTCCGAGTCGGCACGGCACTGACCAACCGTACCGTACAAGCTGCCAGGGCCACCTCCAGGCACGGCGTCAATTAATCTGGACGGGTGCGGCGAGGGGCGGGGGGGGGGGCACTGGCCGAGGCCCTGGCGGGCGCGCGCGGCGGGGAGATGTCGGACTCGGCTCCCTTGTCGTGCTCCTCGGCGGCGAGGTGTGGGGACCAAACGCGTCCGGCGGCTTTACTTTTTCGAGACAGGGCTCCAGCCATCCTCCTCCTCCTCCTCCTCTCCTCCTCCTCCTCCTCCTCCTCCTCCTTCCTCCTCCTCCTCTCCTCCTCCCTCCTCCTCCTCCTCCTCCTCCTCCTCCTCCTCCTCCTCCTCCTCATTCTCCTCCTCCTCTCCTCCTCCTCCTCCTCCTCCTCCTCCTCCTCCTCCTCCTCTTCCTCCTCCCCTCCTCCTCCTTCTCCCCCTCCTCCTCCTCCTCCTTCTCCTCCTCCTCCTCCTCCTCCTCCTCCTCCTCCTCCTCCTCCCCCCCTCCTCCCCGGGCCAGCTTCCCATCCCGGACCGTTTCTGTTGATGGCCCCAAGGCTCGGGGCTGGCCTCCAGAGGCCCTCACACGACGAGAGAACAGCTGGCCGCTGTCATTCTTTCGAGCCGCCAGAGGCCTTGGGAGCAGGGCGGCAGCAGCTGGAAGAGGAGGCCTCGCGCGCAACGCGCTGAGCTCCTGCTTGACCTCCTCCTTCACCTCCTGCTTGGCCTCCGTCTTGGGCGCCTGCCTGCGGAGCAGCGGAGAGGGCGCGGCGAGGAGCTGATCGGACTGGGACTTGGGCTCAGGGCGCGCTGTGAAGGAGAGGGGCCCCAATCGCCCCTCGCCATCCACGCGCCCCTCTCCTGCGCGACAGGGCCCCATCGCCCCTCGCCATCCCCTGCCCCCCCCCCTGCCACCCAACTTCGAGTCCCTCCCACCAACCCCCTTGCCCCTCTCCGAGAGGGGCGAGGGGATGGGCGGGAGGGCCGGGTCGAATGAAAGGGCGGGAGTAGCAAAGGGGGGGGGGCGAGTCAACACACGTGGCTGATTTACTGGCGCTGCCAGCGCCGGAGGAGCCCATGTCTCGAGGAAAGCGCCTGGCGGTGGGGACGAAACCAGCTGCACGCAGCAGCAGATGTCGTACCCCCCTTTCTCTATCCCCCTCCGTCGTCCGGCCCGACCCACGAGGAGGAGGAGGAGGAGGAGGAGGAGGAGGAGGAGGAGGAGGAGGACCAGTGTAAACCCAAGAGCCATCAACGATGTTGGAATACACCCTCCCTTCGAGCTCCCTCTTCACAGGTCCCTACAACGGTTCATGTCCACTGCAAGAACTGCCTCGTTGGAAGACAACCGTTTGAAGACCCTGAAGCATGCCAAACGATTGTTCTCGGGATTCCAATGCCACGGATCAACCTGACTGTTGCGCCTTGACGATCCTGGATCGTGCCAGAACGTCACTCTTGGGATTTCAACACCACGAACCAACGTAACTGTTGCACCCGCAAAATCCAAATCCTTCCAAAACACCATGTCTGGTACGCTGGTCATAGAAATCCGTGGAACTCTTACAAATATCATAAACGAACGTGCGCGGCGCTAATGCGAGCGCCAAATGTTGAAAGGGAACCGCCCTCAATCCGTCAAACTATTGCAAGCTTTTAAAGCGAATGTGCGCGGCGCTAAGGCGAGAGCCACATTCTGAAAACAGGTTATCTTCAATCCGCGAAACCCTTGCAAGGTTAAATAATGTGCGCGGCGCTATGGCGAGAGCCACATTTTGAAAACCACCCGCCCTCAATCCGTGGAGTAGATTTTTAGAACGAATGTGCGCGGCGTTACAGCGAGAGCCACATTTTGGAAACCACCGGCCTCCACCTGTGAAACTGTTGCCAATACTTGAACTTCAGCGTAATAAATTGTGAGGCGGTCTCAGGCAAAACAACCGGCCCGCCCTAAAAACTGGCTTCGGGTGCGACAGGGAGAAGTTATTCATAAGGAACGGAAGAGGCGGAGGAGAAAGAAGAGAAGAAGGGAGGAAAGGAAGGAGAGAGGAGGGGGGCGGGAATCGGAGTCGAAGTCGGAGTTTGGGGTCTCAGAACGGGCACCGAGAACGCGCGCCAGCCCTTTCCCTATCCCCTCCTTTCGTTCGACCCGAGAGGGGCAGGATTCGCCAACATCGAATTAGAAAGTCGGATCGAATCGAAATGCGCGTCGGATCGGGCTGCCAGCGGCACGCAGTCGGAGCGGCTTCGCCAGGATGCACTCTCAGCAATGCAGAATGGGGGCGGAGCCTGCCTAGATGGGTGGGAGGGGCACGAAACCTTGTAAATAGTATGGTTTTGGGATACCCTCCTTGCTCAGGCGGGGCCTCCCTAGAGGGGTGGGAGGGGCACGAAATCTTGTAAATAATATGGTTCTGGGATACCCTTCTCGCTCAGGCGGGGCCTCCCTGGAGGGCCGGGAGGGGCACAAAATCTTTTAAATATTATGGTTTGGGGATATCCTCCTCGCTCAGGCGGGGCCTCCCTAGAGGGGTGGGAGGGGCACGAAACCTTGTAAATAGTACGGTTTTGGGATACCTTTCTCGCTCAGGCGGGGCCTCCCTGGAGGGGTGGGAGGGGCACAAAACCTTTTAAATATGATAGTCTCGCTCAGGTAGGGCCTGCCTGGAGGGGTGGGAGGGGCACGAAACCTTGTAATTAGTATGGTTTGGGGATACCCTCCTCGCTCGGGCGGGGCCTCCCTGGAGGGGTGGGAGGGGCACGAAACCTTGTAAATAGTACGGTTTGGGAATACCCTCCTCGCTCGGGCGGGGCCTCCCTGGAGGGGTGGGAGGGGCACGAAACCTGATATCTAGTATGGTTTGTATACCCTGTTCGCTCTGGCGGGGCCTCTCTGGAGGGGTGGGAGGGGCACGAAACCTGATATCTAGTACGGTTTGCGACTGCAGTAAGTATGGTATGGCAGGCATAGTATATTATAATACGTGTGGTATGGTATGGTAGGGGATGGCAGGTGATACCATAGGTATGGTATGGCAGGTATGGTATAGTGTAGTACGTATGGCGTGGTAGGGGATGGTATGGTATCGTATAATATGTAATAGTGTAATACGTATGGTATTGGTAGGATATTGCAGGTATGATCTGGTATAAGTGAAGGAAGCGGAGAAGAAGGAGAAGGAGAAGGAGAAGGAGAGGGTGGTTTAGGAAAACAAGAACCCCACTCAGGATGTGGGGAACAATACAAAACGGACTCTGCCTCCAAATTGCGAGCATGCACAACCAACCCGATGCGGGCCCCCCCTACCATCCCTATCAAAAACAATGCACATTACACTTTGGGGCAAAGTCCAGAGTCATGTTCGTGAGGCCCGCAGACATGTTGTATTGTTTTTCGATAGGGACGGCGGGGGTGTCTGCATGTTGCCTGCTGCGCGCAGGGCTACCATCCCTGACAAGCACACACAGCAATACAAAATGCACCTCGCGGCTAAGCGTGGATAGTTCGCGGCCACCCCGCGATCATTGTCAAGTGGATTTTGTCAGAGACGGCGGGGGTGTCCGCGTATGGCCTGCTGTGCGCAGGCCCACCAGACACAATGATGGGCATTGGTTTTCGACAGGGATGGTGGGGGCCGATTTGTTTCCCGATGTGTGTTGTCACATGCGCAGGCACACCTGACACACTCTGCACGTGCCCCGGACGTGGCGCACCTGGCGCGGCTGGAGGGAGCATCTGGCGCACTAGGCGTGCCTGGCACGCTCGGGCCCCAAGGGTACCTGGCGCGCGTGGCGCGCCTGGCACGCGTGGCGCACCTCGCCCCAGCGTGACGCACATGGGCTCGGTTTGGGTTACCAGTAGCTGTCCATAAAAAGACGACCGCGGAGCATGCTGAGGCTCGGGTGTTACTTATGTGGCGGGAGGACGGGTGGGAGTGAGCTAGACGGCTTGCTATCTGGAGGGTGTCTTTATCACTGTTCCCTATTAATAAACACCCCCTCCCCCAGGCGACTGGGGGCCAACCAGGGTCCATGCCGACACCCCCCCACCACCCCTTGCAAAAAACAATACAAAACACACTCTGCCTCCAAATTCGGAACATGCGCAGCCAACCCGATGCGCCCCCCCGCCACCATCCCTGTCAAAAAACAATACAGAGTACACTTGGCGGCGGCGGCGGCGGCTGCGGCGGCTGCGGCGGCGGTGGCGGCGGCGGCGGTGGCTGCGGCGGCGGCGGCGGCGGCGGCGGCGGCGGGCGGGGGCGGGCGGCGGGCGGCGGCGGCGGCGGCGGCGGCGCGGCGGCGGCGGCGCGGTGGCGCAGCAGCGGCAGCGGCTGCGGCGGCGGCGGCGGTTTGGCAGCGGGGGGCGGCGGCGGCGGCGGCGGCGGCGGCGGCGGATTGGCCCCCAGAAGCTGCCCATCCCAAGACGACTGCTGAATATGCTCAGGCTCGGGCCAGATTCGGGTGCTACGTATGTGTTGGGAGGGCGGGTGGGAGTGAGCGAGACGGCTTGCGGGCGGCGCCTCGTGCCCACAGGCCTCCTGTGCTGCTGGATGCGCCACGCGATGCCCGACTTCTCGGTGTCGTCGACGCGAGTTCTCTCCGCCTCGGCAGCGCGTCGGCGCCGCCGCGGACCCAGATCCCCGACGACCGGAGTTTTTCGGCGTCGGGGCTCTGGCCTCGGAGGCCTGGTCTCAGGTCCCGGGGCCATCAAAGGTAGATCCAGGACGGAAAACTGCCCCCGGTGCAGGCGCCGGGAGCTCTGGGGTCCGGATCGGACAAGACATTTCGGAGGACGTCTGGGCTCGTGGTCGAAGCCGCCTTCGTTGCTGCCGCTGTGGTCGTCGTCGCCCGCCGTCGCCGCCGCCGTGGTCGTCGCTGGCCGTCGGCCGTCGGCCGTCCGTCGTGTGCCCGTCGGCAGTCTTCGTCGCCTCGGCGCCCTCGCGCTACCTCTTCGCCCGACCCGCAACGCCTGGCACCGAAGGTGCCGCCGCCAGGAGGAGGAAAGCCCAGTGGCCCCGACGCCCCCTTCTCGCGCGGGCGCCGCGCCCCCCACTTTCTGCCATGCACGGACATCCGAGGGAAGGCCAGGGAGACGGACCAACGGACCCAAACCTCCTCGTGCTGTGAAAAATCACGACGGGAGGTTTTTCTCTACTGTCGGCCTCAAGAAGCCCTTACCAGGCCTCGGGACCGTCAAAAAACGACTCAGGATGAAACACCGGTCCCGGGTAAGGGGTCCAGACCTCTGGGGGTCGACGTTGCGAAAAGATCACGGCGTCGGGGGCGTGGATCGAAGAAGAACGGCGTGCCTGCGGCGCCGGCCACCGGCTGGCAGAGGAAGGCCTGGGGGGGAAGAGGGAGGGGGGGATGCTGGAGGGCGAAGACGAGCTAGCAGGAGGGGGAAGAGAGAGAAACCAGTATTTTGATAAGCGGACCCTGACGGGGAAGTCGGGCGGGCCGGCCCGACGGGGCGAGCTGGGCGAGCGGACCCTAACGGGCGGGTCGGGCGGGCGGGGCATTAAAGCGGGCGGGCGGGATTCAAGCACGTGAACAGGCAGACCCAGGCCCTACTGGGCGGGTCGGGCGGGCACCTAACGATCGGGTCGGGCGGGACATTGAAGCGGGCGGGCGGCCTTGCAAGCAGGCGAGTGGGAGTCCGGCGGGCAGACTCACAGGCGGGTCGGGCGGGCAGGCCTTCACGGGCGGGCTGGATGGGCAGAACAGTGAAGCGAGAGCACAAGTCCTGATCGAATGGCGAGGGTCTCTGGTGGGAGAGCGCGACCCCTAGGTGTCGAGAGGGCAACGCCTCCGTAAACTGCAAGGAATTCCTGAGCGACAGCGCGATTCCAGAGTAAATAGTGAGAAGGCCTCGAGCGAGATACATGTCAATGGAGTGCGAACAAGAAAATAAGGCAGCAGCCGTTGTTGTTGGAATCCTGGTGGCAAGGGCGCAGTTTGCTTGATTTGGAAAAACGCTCCCTGATAAAAAAGAACAGGGTGCGAGCCCTGGGCGGGGGGCGCTACAATCGAAAAAACACACATGGGCACCGGTGAGGGGGAATCAACAATAATTACGGTCGGACCTAGGTCAGAAAAACATCCCTCAAGAACATGAGACCCTCCGTCGGCCCAAACGGAAGAACGCTCGAGGTGCCCTCCCCAGGATGCACAAGAACATCCCACAAGCACGAAGAACACTAGGGCACACTCCCCGAACCGACCTCTAACTCATACCTCTGTCCGACTGTGTTCTGTTCGCGGCCTCGAAACCCTGAGGGGCCGCTCTGGGGCCCGGGGGCCCGCAGGGGAACCATCCGCCCGAAGAGCCAGCCCAGGGGGTGGGGTCGAGAGCTCGCGGAAGGCCTGGGTCATGGCGTGACAACGAAAATCTACGGCGTCAGCGGCCCTGGCAAGAGAAGGAAAAGGCCCGGCCAAACTAAAAAAGAGTGGGGAGCGATCCAGGGCGGCTTCGGGAGGACCTCGAGGGGACGATCCTTGACGAAACCCGGATCACCCCCCATGTTTATTGCGCCAGGCTTGGCATAAAGGTGTCGTTAATCCTCACCCTCTTCCTCTTTTGGTTGTCTTTTTCTCTCTCTCTCTCTCTCTCTCTTTCTTTCTGTCTCTCTCTCTCTCTCTCTCTCTCTCTCTCTATATATATATGTATATATGTGTATATATATATATATATATATATATATATATATATGTATCCTCCCTGCCTCGCTCCTCCCTGTTTGCCTGCCTACCCCTCCACCTATTACTACTCGTCGCCTGATGTCTACTCCCCCCGATACTCCGCTACCCTCCTGCCCGTGCATCCCATCACACTACGTTTCCTCATCCTCCTCCTTCTCCTCCTCCTCATCATCATCACCATCGTCATCATCATCATAGTCATAATCAGCATCATCATCATCATCATCATCATCATCATCATCATCATCATCATCATCATCATCATCATCATCATCATCATCATCATCATCATCGTCATCAAGGGTTTCACGGATAGAGGGCGGCTCCTTTTCAAAATGTGGCTCTCGCCTTAGCGCCGCGCACACTCGTCTTAAAATGTTGCCAGAGTTTCACCGATTGAGGGCGAGTGATTTTCAAAATATGTGGCTCTCGCCTTAGCGACGCGCACATTCGCCTTAATAATTGCAAGAGTTTGACGGATTGAGGGCGAGTCGGTTTCAAAATGTGGCTCACGCCTTAGCGCCGCGCACACTCGCCTTACAAATGTGCAAGAGCTTCACGGATTGAGGGCGGCTCCTTTTTCAAGTATGGCTCTCGCCTTAGCGCCGCGCACAGTCGTCTTAAACAATCAAACAAGAGTTTCACGTATTCCCATGGTCAACGAACCAGAAATGGCGTTGTGGAAGGATTCAGGTTCATCAGGGTGCACAACCTATGTTGATTCGCAATGTGAAAGTCCCAGGAATGGCGTTCTGGCACGATTCAGGATCGTCAAGACACAACAGTCAGGTTGATCCGTGGCGTTGGACTCCCGAGAAAAATGTGTTGGCATGCCTCAGGGTCTTCAAACAGTTGTCTTCCAACCAGGCAGTTCCCTCAGTAAAAATGAACCGTTGTAGGGACCTATGAGGAGGGAGCTTGGAGGGATGGTGTATTCCAACATCGTTGATGCCTCTTGGGTTTACACTGGTCATCCTCCTCATCCTCCTCACCCTCCTCATCCTCCTCATCCTCCTCATCCTCCTCCCCTCCCCTCCTCCTGCTCCTGCCCCTCGTGCCTAATCCCGTCCCTCCGTCCCTCCCTCAACCCCCAGGGAGACCGGGGGAAGGAAGAGAGGAGGAGGAGGAGGACGCGAGGGAGGAGCAATTTCGATGGCTTTGGAGTGGGAGAGGAGTGGGTGGGGGTGGTTGGGGAGGGGGGGGCGCGCACCATCTGCACAGTTATACTAGGGCTCGTATCGAGAGGCGACGAGGCGACGCGTCGAGCCGAGAATGCGCGGCAGGCGGCCCCCGACGGCGCAGCGCGCCGTAAAAGACGACTCGACCGGCAGCCCCGCGCGGCCCCCGGCTCGGCAGCCGAGCGGCACGGGCCTCACGCCAGGATCCCTGCAGGACAGTCAGCATCATCGAATTGAGAAATCGGTCGGATCGTGGGCTGCGCCGTCGGGGGCCGCCTACCGCGCATGCTCGCCTCGTCGCCTCTCAACACGAGCCTCCGTATAAGTGAGCTGATCGTACGCGCCCCCCCCCCCAACCACTCCCCACCCACTCCTCCCCCATTCCAAAGCCATCGAAATCGCTCCCGCCTCGCGTCCTCCTGCTGCTTGGGGAAGGTCGGATCGGAGTCGGCCGCGCCAAGATGCACGACGGAGCCACGCAAGCATCGAGCCGCATCGGACCGTCAGGAGCACTGGAATCGAATCGGATCGAGCCGGGCGGCACGGAGCGCTCCCTCTGGACCTTGTAGCGCGCGGGCCTCGCGCTTTGGCCCCACGCGCACCAGGCGCTGGGTAAGCCCGCCAGTGGCCCACGGCTTGCGCGAGGGATGGAGACTTCGCTAGGCCCCTACCCCACGGCGGCCCGCCCCAAGAGGAGGAAGAACCAGCGCTACATGAGAGGAGGGGGAGGAGGAGGAGGAGGAGGAGGAGGAGGAGGAGGAGGAGGAGAAAGAGGAGTAGAAGGAGGAGGAGGAGGAGGAGGAAGAGGAGGAAGAGGAGGACCCATGTTCCTCGATGTCCTGAAGACCCTTAAAAGAGGTGGACCTCAGAGCTCGACGACCTGTCGCCGAAGAGCCCCGGGATCCAGAAGGGCATGTTGGCGTCCGCAACAGGGCAGACGGAGGCTGCCACACGGGCCGCTGTCGGGAAGGCGGAAGTCTCCTCGAGCAAAAGAAACCCTCCTATCCTTTCAAAGTGAAAAGAAGGGAGGGGAGGGATGGAGACGCCCATGTGAGCGGAAAACCATTCGGGTGAGCTACCCTGAAAGCGCTTCGCAGTACACCCGCAGCAAGTCGAAGTGCCGAATCTAACGCGCACAGCAAAATAAGAAGGGCCCACCCTGCAGGTACGGTTGGCATCACATCGTTGCACACTGCATGCTGCGAGGACGAAAATGAGGAGGGGGAGGAGGAGCGGGGAAGTACGACCAGCGGGCGATCGCAGGGGGGAGGAGGCGGCGGACAGGCTGGAGCTGGGGCGCGTGCCAAGTCGACGACGTCCTTGTCCACGAAGACGGTGTCCTCACCAAGCGGCATATCCTCCCTCCTCCTCATCATCATCACCATCACCATCATCGTCAGCATCAGCACCAGCAACATCAGCATCGTAATCGGACTCGTCATAAGCATCGACAAGACCATCACCATCATCACCACCAACATCAGCACCATCATCACCATCATCATCATCATCATCATCATCACCATCACCATCACCATCACCATCATCACCATCATCACCTCCAGCAGCATCATGATCACCCGCCCGCGTCACTTATTTTCCAAACAAAATATATACTCTTACAAGCGAGCATTGAGCCCGGGTCCCCCAGCCCTTGGAATCCCTTCTCCGGGTTCTTGATGACGGATGGACCATTCACGAAGTCATGCGGCATTGCTACATATCTCCGTTAGATAAATGCTATGGTAGGTTGTGACACGCGCGCGCTACGAGGCGTGCGCACCATTTGCTGGGGCGCGGTTCGCGTCCCGCTCCTCACGAGTGATACTTGAGCCGAACACACGGAACCACACGCGCAGGCTCATGCAAAAGACAAGCAGGAGGATGACTGTAACGACTCCCCCCGCAGCGGGCTCCTGAGTCACCAAGAATTTGCGCGCCAGCCCCAGCACACCTCGCCAGGGCGCGCTAACCCCAAACAAATGGCACAACGCAGCCCGACCAAGTAGTACCTCATGCTGCTGCAGAGGCTATGGCTCACCTCCTCGACGAAGCCTTGATGTTATTCTCTGGCACAGGGTGTCTAGAGCTCCGACCATTGTATTTCGGCACGGCGCCCCCTCCATGACCCACACGTTCAACCAGCCAGCGCGCCCCTCCGCCCCGACCACTTTCATTCCGGCACCGCACACCCCTCCGCCCCGACCCCTTTTTTATGTCGGCACGGCACACCCCCTCCGCATCCCCCCACCCACCAGCCAGCGCGCCCCTCCGCCTCGGCACGGCGCACCCCTCCGCCCCGACCCCTTTTATTTCGGCACGGCACACACACACACACACACACACACACACCGCATCCCCCCACCCACCAGCCAGCGCGCCCCTCCTCCCCGACACCTGTATTTCGGCACGGTACACCCCTCCGCCCAGACCCTGTATTCCGGCACAATACACCGCCTCCGCATCCCCCCACCCACCAGCCAGCGCGTCCATCCGCCCCGACCCCTTTGCTTCGGCACGGCACACACCCCCGCAGCCCCCCACCCACCAGCCAGCGCGCCCCCTCCGCCCCGACCCCTGTATTCCCCCCCGCGCGCCCCCTCCGCCCCGACCTTTTCATGTCGGCACGGCACATCCCTCCGCCGCGACCCCTTTTTTATTTCGGCACGGCACACACACACACCCCACACCCCCCCCACAACCCCCCCGCACACCAGCCAGCGCGCCCTTCCGCCCCGACCCCTGTTTTTTACTTCGGCACGGCACACCCCTCCGCCCCGACCCTTTTTTTATTTCGGCACGGCACACCCCCATCCGCATCTCCCCCACCCACTAGCCAGCGCGCCCCTCCGCCCCGACCCCTTTTTATGTCGGCACGGCACACCGCCCCCGGACACCCCCACGCACCAGCCACCGCGCCCCTCCGCCCCGACCCATGGAATTCGGCACGACGCACACACACACACACACACACACACACAGCTCCGCGCCCCCCCCCCACCAGCCAGCGCGCCCCTTCCGCCCCGACCCCTATGTATGCCGGCACGGCACACACACACACACACACACACACCGCGCGCCTCCGCCCCGACCCCTTTTATTTCGGCACGGCACACCCCTCCGCCCCGACCCTTTTATTTCGGCACGACACCCCCTCGGCATCCCCCCCACCCGCCAGCCAGCGCGGCCCTCCGCCCCGACCCCTTTTATTTCGGCACGGCACACCCCTCCGCCCCGACCACTTTATTTCGGCACGGTACACACCCTCCGCATCCCCCCACCCACCAGGCAGGACACCCACCCGTCCCGACCCCTTGTATGTTGGCGCGCTGCCCCCCCCCTGCATCACCCCACCCACCAGCCAGCGCACCCCATCCGCCCCGAACCTTTTTATTTCGGCACGGCACACCCCGCGCGCCCCCTCCGCCCCGACCCCTTCTATTTCAGCACGGCACACCCCTCCGCCCCGACCCCATTATTTCGGCACGGCACACCCCATCCGCTTCCCCCCCACCCACCAGCCAGCGCGCCCTCCGCCCCGACACCTGCATTTCGGCACAGCACGCCCCTCCACCCCGACCCCTTTTATTTCGGCACGGCACACCCCCTCCGCATCCCCCCACCCACCAGCCAGCGCGCCCCTCCGCCCCGACCCTTTTTTTTTTATTTCGGCACGGCACAACCCCTCCGCCCTGGCCCCATTTACCCCCCTGGCGCGCCCATCCGCCCCGACCCCCCGGAACGGCACACCCTCCGCCCCCTTCTTTCGCACGCACACCCCCTCCGCATCCCCCCCCCAGCACCAGCGCGCCCCTCCGCCCCGACCCCTTTTTTTATTTCGGCACGGAACACCCCCCCCCCCGCATCCCCCCACGTACCAGCCAGCGCGCCCCCTCCGCCCCGCGATCCCTTGATTTCGGCATGGCCCCCACTGCCTCCCCACGCACCCCGCGCGCCCCCTCCACATCCCTCCCACCCACCAGCCAGCGCGCCCCTCCGCCCCGACCCCTTTATTACGCCCCCACCCACCCACCCCCACTCACAAGCCAGCGCGCCCCTCCGCCCCAACCCCTTTTATTTCGGCACGGCACACCCCTCCGACCCGACTCCTTTAGCCCCCTCAGCCCCTCCGCGCGCGCCCCCTCCGCATCCCCCCAATCCCTCAACCAGCGCGCCCCTTCCGCCCCGACCCCTTTGTTTGGGCGCGGCACCGCTCCCTCCGCCCTGACCCATTGATCTCAGCACAGCACCGCCCCCCCCACCCCGAGCGCCCCCTCCGCATCCCCCCATCCGCCAGCCAACGCGCCCACTCCGCCCCGACACCCCCACCCCGAGCGCCCCCTCCATCACCCCATTCACCAGCCAGCTCGCCCCCTTCCGCCTCCTCCCCATTCCTGTCTGTGCAAGAGCCATGGAGCGCGAGCCACTTGTTCGACAGGCCCACGGGGCACCCAGCGCTGTTCGCTCGGCCGGTCTGGTCCTTCCCCGCAGCCTACCTTCGGCCTCAATCAAGTGGAGCTCTCTGCCAGCCGCCACCCTGGCCCCAGGCATTCCATGGATCACTCTCCGCAATGCACGCCCCGGGCTCGTCTTGGCGACCTTCGTCACGGTCTTCCCTTGGGCGACCACCAGACCAGTGGCCCGAGTTCTCGCTCCTCTACTAGGACGACGTCCCTTGCCAGGGCGCCGACGAGAAGGTACTTCCTCCTCCGCTTCCCCACGAGTTCGCGTAGGCCCTGTTTCCTTTCTTTCCAGCTCCTTGGTTTGTCCACTTGCTCGCCCGATCGTCGTCGAGACGATACGAACTGTACCTCTTGGAGCTATTACCCTTGCCTGGTTTCCTCTCTGCTTCAGCCTCGGTTGTCCTCGAACCACGATCTTAGCGACGGTTAGACCATCTATTGCTGCCAGTTCCCCAATCAGCATCCCCATTATCGCCGTCTTGTCTGGACTGCTGCTCACCGCAATCCGCACCCGCAGCAGAGCCACGACCCACCGGACCAGCGGGTGCAGCATAAGCACCCCGAGCGCTTTCTCCTGTGTCCGTCACCGCCGCGGCGCTGGCAGAGCCGTCCGTCACAGCAGGTGGCATCACGACATCTCTTTCACCAGAAAGAGCGCTAGAAGAGCTGTCCGTCGCAGCAGGTGTCATCACGACCGTTCTTTCACCAGAAGCACCTCTGCCAGAGGCTGCGCTGCGGCCATGAAACAGGACGATCGCTTTTCGATCATCCGTTATCGCCGTTTCACCTTACCAGGATGTTTATCCACTGGTGGGCTCGTAACCAGCTCAGCAAATAAGGGCATATTCCTACCCTTCGGATTACCAGGATTGCGATTGTAACCGTCAGACGGCCATAGAGGCCTATGGCATCCCGCATCTTTGTAATCGATTATTATGTTATGGGAGGGGGGGAATGGGCAGGGCCCACTGACTCGTCGAACCTGGCTAACTTGACTCATTCTCTTACAACACCTCCGCCCTCCTCCTCCTCCTCCTCCTCCTCCTCCTCCTCCTCATCATCATCATCATCATCATCATCATCATCATCATCATCATCATCATCATCATCATCATCATCATCATCATCATCATCATCATCATCATCATCCTCTTCATCGTCCTCCTCATCCTCCTCCTCCGCCGCCCTTCTCTTCCTCATCGATCTTCCCTCCTTCCACGTCATCATCGTCCTCCTCCCATGCCTCCTCCTTCTCCCCTCATCCTTTTCCCACAAACTGAAAGCCGCTTGGGAAGCTCCACGGGCGGCATCCTCGTCGACGCAGAGCCTGCGGCCGTGAGCGAGCACTGTCTTCTTCTTGACGTTGTGCCCCTCCTCGGGAAGGGAGGGAGGAGCAAGGTAGGAAGAGGAGGGAAGGAGGGAGGGAGGGAGGGAGGGAGGAGGAGGCGGAAGGAAGGAGGGAGGAGAAGAAGAGAGAGAGAGAGAAGAGAGAGTGAGGCGGAGGGTGAGGAGAAACAAGAAAAGAAGGGTCTCTTCCTGACGCCCCGCCTCTCCTCAGACGCTGGCACTGCCCTATCCCGATCCCCCGCCCCGCGCTTGTTCAGGAGAACTGCGGGGAGGAGGAGAAGGAGGAGGAGGAGGCCCCGCCTGCGAGGCTGGCGAATTATAGAGCGAGGATGATGTCATGATACGACTCGCTCCAGATACGCCCCAGGAGTTTCAAAATATCTAGCGGCCCTCGTTTCTACAACGGTCTCTGAAAGCCTGGAGCGCAGCAGTATCACAACTTCTTGCTGAAATTCGAAATCTCGGTGTTGCCCAGCAGGGTCGGGCCTGGTGGAGCACGACGTGCTGCAGAAGTAGTGAGACCTTCGTCGTCGCTGACCGAGAAACGGGTGCCGAAGATCCAGGTCATCGGGCGCCTTCGGGGTGAAACGTTTTCGCGCGCTCCAGGGCGGGCGTCTGTGGGGCCTCTGAGGAGGGCAGGGGGAGCAGTGTTAGTTTTCCGGGGGGGGCAAAACAAATGGCCCTTTCTCCAAGGCACCCCTCCGTACTTAGCCAGCCAGGTGCCGCGAACCGCGCTCCAGTCTTCGACGGCTCTGCTTCAGGGGGAGGGCACCCACAGCGATGCCGCGCGAGGATCCGCCCACCAGCGGGAGCATGCGGCAGCAAACTAGTCCGAGGTCTCTAACTTGCGCGCGGCTGCTGCAAAGGCCGCCCCAGAGAAGGCCGACACGAGCGGCAAGAACAGACTAGCGAAAGTGGTGGAACTCCCACCAGACCTCCATGTGCCCTCCATACGCGATGTTGTCGTCATCCTTTTGTCCCCCATCCGCCCCGCATTCGACCGCCATTCGTCCTCCATTCGACATGTGTTCCTGTCCCTCTTCTGCACTTTTCCCTCTTGTGTCCCCCGTTCGTCCTCTCGGCCTGCTCAGGCACTTGTCGAACTACCAGGCTGCGAAAGGTACGACAGCGTGAATGAAATGGGAAGACAGGAGGGAGCAGGAGGAAAGAGGCTCACACCTCGTTCTTACCACACTTCGTTCCTGAACACGTGCGTACAGGGCAATATCGAAATACTTGACCGTCCGGTAAGAGAACGGAAAGACGCGTAGAGAACGGAAAGAGCGCGAATGAAGAAATCTTAGACTCGCCCCCCGACCAAGCATGCAATCATGTATGGGGGAGAGACGGCCAGGCGAGGGGGGGAGATGACTCTGACGAACGGCAAGACTCTACGCCTGGAATGCGACTGGCTGTGGACCGAGAACGGGCTTGAGATCCGAACCCCAGAGAAATAAGGTGGGTCGTTGGGTTTCCCTCATCCCACCTGGGGGCGGGTCATTAGAAGCACCAAAAAAACCCGACGCCGCGGCCGCGGCGCTCCTCCCTGGCCGCAGGGAGCACCTCTGACAGGTCGCGAATCCGGAGGTCCTCCGTACAGCGGCGTGCCGAATAGGGCCAGGGCTCCTCCTCCGCCTGCTCATCCCTCATCCCTCCCTCATCCTCCCTCCTCCCTCCTCCCTCATTCTCTCCCTCCCTCCCTTCCTCTCTCCCTCCCGCCCTCCTTCCTGTCTCCTCCCTCCTCCCTCCTCCCTCCTCCCTCCTCCCTCCTCCCTCCTCCCTCCACCTTCCCTCATCCCTCCCTCCCTCCCCTCCCTCCCTCTCACCCTTTCCTTTTCTTTCATTTCCTTTCCTTTCCTTTCTGCTCTTTGGGACGCTGCGGTCCGCGCCGCGACACCCGCCCCCGCTGGGGCCACGCTGGTCAGGCGTTTTTCCATCATCGCTGGGGCAGCTGTGGGGCATCTCCCGCCCATCCGCGCGGCGTCTCCCTCCGTGGCCCAAAGCCAGCGCAAGGGCGCCCGACTGCACGTCGGGGCCTGATGCGGCAGGACCCCCGGATGAAATTAGGGGCAAGCTGGCGGCCCTCCTTACCCGCGGCCCTGCATCCCCACCCGATGGCAAGGCCCTAGCCCCTGCATCTTTTCCACGCTCTCGCCCCCCCAATCCCTCGAGACCCCTCAGGACTCCGCGAGCAGGCGTCCTACACGTACCGAGTCGGCCCCAAATCGGGACACCCAGGACGCCTGGTCGCCGGCAGTCCCCCAGACCCCGGCCCCGCCCCCCCAGGAGCCCGCACCCCCGGACCCGCCCACCCAGGACCCCAGACCCGCCCCCGAAGAGGCCCGGAACCCCCCGAACAGCCCCCGAAGAGGCCCGGACCCCGCGAGCAGGCGTCCTAAGTGCACCAATTCGGCCCCAACTCGGTACTCTTAGGACGCCTGGTCGCCAGCCGCGCCCGCCGCAAGTCGGGCCGATTCTGGGCCACCATGTACGCGCGCCCCCAGGGCGAGTCAGGGCCAGCTCTTGGCCAGCCAGCAGACCTTGGGTCGGCGAAGGCTCATTCTGCGCCATCGCGCCGCCGACCCAGAATCCCGCCCAGGCTTGACACCCAAGGCGCCCAGCCCCGCCTGCGGGCGGTGGCCACTGCTTTTCTGGCTGGATGAGCTGGCAATGCCTCTTCTGGGGAGGGGGGCGGCCGGGGATCAACTGCCAGCCCAGAGAAAGGTGGAGAGTGGCTGGGCGCCCAGGGGAGGGGCGCCCCGCCCCGGCCCGCGCCCACCCACCACAACCACCACCCAAGCCAAATCAGACCACCCCGCTGCACTGGCAGGAATCCTCGACGCCTTCTCGAACTCCTCTCCCCCCGAGTGCGCGGGGAGCCTCACGCATCGCAGCGCTGCTCCAAGCGGCGGACCACGCCCGCCGCCCCGGCCGCCACCTCTGGGGGGCTGTCCCCGAAAAGCCAGCGCGCCCGGGCACCCCATGCAGCCAGCAAACCGTCCGCCTCCTCGCAATGGGCGAGGAAGCGCGTCGCCGACTCCAAAGAGGTCCGGAATAGCCGGTACGGCTGCACGCCGCCAGCCCAGTCCATCTTGGAGGCGCCCTGCAGGGAGAGGCGCGCCCAGGCGCGGATCACGTCTGCTGGGCATCCTGGCAGCGCCAGGTCTCGGACACCCCATTGCCTGCCACAGGTGCGCTCGAGCCCCTGCACCTGCCTGGCTTGGCTCCACCAGCGCAGCCCGTCTGCGTCCTCCAGCGCCTTCCGGATGCGCTCTCGGTCGTCGCTGTAAGCGCGCCGCCGGGCCGCCGCGCTGCCTGCTGACTGCACCCGCGGAGGTCTGATGCAAAGGCGCCTAAGCGCGTCTGCAACCGCTTACCTCCATGAGCCCAGCGCCTCCTCTGAGAGGCCGAAGATCTTCCGCGCCTCGTCGTAGCGCGGGCCCACGCCGACCCTGATGCTCACCACGAGTGCCATCTGCCTGATTTTTGCAGGGAACCGCCTGGTCCACCCCTGCTGCCGGAGGAGCACCCCCCCGGGCATTGGCCCCGCGAGCCCGAGCACCGCTCGGTCCCACTCCTCCTGCAGGTGGTTGACGTATTGCTCAAACTGTGGCACGTGGAAGCAGAGCTCCTCACCGAACAAGGCCGCAAGTCGAGTGCAGATCCTCCTCCTCCTCCTCCTCCTCCTCCTCCTCCTCCCCCTCCTCCCCCTCCTCCTCCTCCTTCTCCTCCACCTCCTCCTCCTTTGATGTTGCACCAACAATGGTAGAATGAACCATGCTGGCCCCAGAGAAAACATGCACAACAAACAATACCGGCGTATGCGATGCGGAGTGGCCTGAGTAATAGAATCTAGGCCTGCCACGATGGCTGCCTGGATCCAGGAAGGTAACCAAGTCTCAAAGTACAAACAGGGGGGGCGAGGGCATGTAGGGACAGAGCTGCCATGTAAGCAGGCGCAAGGAGAGTCGGAGGCAGAGCTTCTTCTACTCATCCTCATCATCCTCCTCGCACGCGGCTTGGTGCAACAAGTTCACGGTGGTCCACCGATCGCCTCCAGGAGTGCCTGACCTGCCACCGATCGGTTGGCACCGTCAGGTCGGCCCGGTCTCTGGACTTTGGGCCTCCACTGTTGAGGCTACACCCTTGCTGGTAAAGCTGCGTGGCCGCAGCAGGAGGACAGTGCTCCTGGCTACATGGTCACACGTGCAACACTGGGTCATTCAAGCACAACACACTGCAAGAAGAAAGGACTAGGCAGCTCTCGGGGCGCGCAGGTCACTGCCTGCGGCGGTGAGAGGGCAGAGCTCCTCCTCCTCCCCCTCCTCCTCCTGCTCCTCCTCCTCCTCCTCCTACTACTCCTCCTACTCCTCCTCTACCTCCTCCTCCTCCTCCTCCTCCTCCTCCTCCTCCTCATCATCATCATCATCATCATCATCATCAGCATCAGCATCAGCATCAGCATCAGCATCATCATCATCATCATCATCATCATCATCATCATCATCATCATCATCATCATCATCATCATCATCATCATCATCATCATCATCCTCAAGACGGGCCAAGCTGCCTGATGCCGAGGGAAGACCTCGCCCGCGGGAGATTGCTCAGGGAAGGAAGGAGGTGGAACGGCCCAAAGGGAAGGGAGATTGCTCAGGGAAGGGAGATTGCTCACGGCCCTCGACGAGGGAGGGAGGCGGGGGACGGGGCGAGAATACCAAAACAAGCCATCGTCATCCTCCCCCTTCCCCTTCTCCTCATCTTGCCCCCTCCCTGGAAGCAGCCAGGGAGTCTGAACTAGCTGGGCACCGAGGAAACCGGTCAAGAAGGGCTCAAAATCGCAGTCTTTCACCCGAGGTCCGTTTTTGAGTCCCCAGGCCCGAAAACGGCCCGCAGACAGAAAAGGGCCAAAAACCTTCCCGAACTCAGCGCCTCGAACCTCGCCACCCCCCTCCTGCTGAGCGAAACCAATGCCGGGCCACCTCAGACCCCCAGCCCGCTCCAAACCCCCTCCTCCACCCCCGGGGGCCGCGTCCTGCGTCGCCGCGGACTTCTTGGCCTTCTTCGGCTTGTCCTTCCTCGCCTCCTTCGAGGCGGCCGCCGGCGCTCCCTGGCCTCGCGGCCCAGCGGCGGAGGGGGGGGCCGAGAGCAGGCGCTGGCCGGAGGCAAGTCCCAGGCGGTGCTCGGGCGATCGGACCGAGCCATGCTGACAGAAGCCTCGTCGACGGCCATTCGTTCAATCAATTGGTTGACCGATCTCTACCCCCACCTTCCAAAAGGGAGGGGGAGGGAAGGGTAAGGGAGGGAGAATCTGCTGGGCCTTCTCCGAGGCTGCTCAAGCGCTTCTGGACGTCGTCGGCGGCCTCGGAGGTTCTCGGCGTCGGGGGTCTCCAAAAGTTCCACGCGGGGCAGAGGGAAGAAAGGCGGTTGGGAAGGGGGAGGTTGACAGGGGGAGAGGAGGAGGAGGAGGAGAAGGAGGAGGAGGAAGAGGAGGAGGAGGAAGAGGAGGAGGAGGAGCGGAAGCGAGAGGGTGAGCAGGAGAATGATGGGAAGGATTGAAGGGAGAAGGAGGAATTTAGAGAAAAAGGAGGAGGATAAGGAGGTAAGGAGGAGGAGGAGGAAGAAAACGAGGAGGACCAGTGCAAACCCGAGATTCACCAACCATGTTGGAAGACAACCTCCTTCCAAGCTCCCTCTTCATAGGCCCCTACAAGGATTCATTTCCGGTGAAGACAGTGCCCGATTTAGAAACAACCGTTTGAAGAGCCTGAAGCGTGATAAAGCACTATTCCCAGGACCCCAACGCCACGACTTTACCTGATTGCGTCGTTTTGACGATCCCGAATCGTGTCGGAACACCATTCCTGGGACTTCAGCACCGCGAATCGACGCAATTGCTGCGCACTGACAACCCTGAACCCTTCCAAACACCATGTCTGGTACGCTGACCATGGGAATCCGTGAAACTCTTGCCAGAGTTTGAAACGAGTGCGCGCGTCGCTAATGCGAGAGCCGCATTTTGAAAAGGAACCGCCCTCAATCCGCGAAACTCCTGCAATCTGTTAAGCCGAATGCGCGCGGCGGTAAGGCGAGGGCCACATTTTGAAAACGACCCGCCCTCCATCCGCGAAATTCTTGCACGTTGTAAAACGAATGCGCGCGGCGCTAAGGCGGGAGCCACAGGTTGAAAACAACCCGCCCTCAATCCTTCAGACTACTGCCACTTGTTGACGACTGCGCGCGGCGCCCAGGCGAGAGCCACATTTTGAAAACCACCCGCCCTCAACCCTGTAAACTACTGCAATGTTTCAACGACTGCGCGCGGCGCTAAAGCGAGAGCCACATTTTGCAAACGACCCGCCCTCCGTCCGTAAAGATCTTGCACAAACTCTCAAGCGAATGAACGCGGCACTTCGGCGAAAGCCACATTTTCAAAATCGCCCGCCCTCCATTTGCGAACCTGCTGCCAGTTCGTGAGTTTCAGGATCGTAAATGGTAAAGACGTCACAAGCGAAACGCCTGGCCCGCCCTTCCGACTGGCCTCGGGGCGCGACAGTGAGGAGTTATTCACAGGGAACCGGAATGGAAGAGGGGAGGGAGGAGGAAGGGGGAGGAGAAGGAGGAGGGGGCGGGGCGGAGGGGGAGGGAGAGGGAAAGGGGAAGGAGAAGGGAGGAGGTGAGAGGAGGAGGGAGGGGGAGGAGGTCGAGAGCAGGAGGACGATGACAAGGAGGACTGGGGAGGAGCAGCGGCCGGGAGCGAAGGGCAAAGGCGGGACAGACGGAAGAGGCAGACCCTGGAAGACAAGGAGCCCACCCGATAGCGGGCCCAGGCGGCCGGTGCGAGCCGGAGAGGCGGGGCAGCCGGGTGGAACCCGCCGGCGGGTGGGTTTTTTTTCCCAACCCTCCTTGTTTCGGTATTCGTTTTGAGTAGACCACTGCTCGCGCTTCCCTCTCCTCCTCCCGCCTCCCGCCTCCCTCTCGCCTCCCTCTCGCCTCCCGCCCCCCCCCCATCCCTCTTGTCTCCTCTTGCCTTGCCTGGGGGGCTGCGATCTGCGAAACTGTCGCCACTTTCGAGGGCTGCTGGTGGGTATTGGTGGGTCCAGCGGAGTGAGGCACCGCGCGGACCTGAGGTAGACCTCGCCGTCCCTGGGGGGCTGCGATCTGCGAAACCGTCGCCACTTTCGAAGGCTGCTGGTGGGTCCAGCGGAGAGAAGCACCGCGCAAACCTGTGGTAGACCTTGCCGTCCCCAGGGGGCTGCGATCAGCGAAACTGTCGCCACTTTCGAAGGCTGCTGGTGGGTCCAGCGGAATGAAGCACCGCGCAAACCTGATGAAGACCTGGCCGTCCCCGGGGGGCTGCGATCTGCAAAACTGTCGCCACTTTCGAGGGCTGCTGGTGGGTCCAGCGGAGCGCGGCACCGCGCAAACCTGAGGTAGACCTGGCCGTCCCTTCGGGGGCTGCGATCTGCGAAACTGTCGCCTCTTTCGAGGGTTGCTGGTGAGTCCAGCGGAGTGAAGCACTGCGCAAACCTGAGGTAGACCTCGCCGTCCCTGGGGGGCTGCGATCTGCGAAACTGTCGCCACTTTCGAGGGCTGCTGGTGGGTCCAGCGGAGTGAGGCACCGCGCAAACCTGAGGTAGACCTCGCCGTCCCTGGGGGGCTGCGATCTGCGAAACTGTCGCCACTTTCGAGGGCTGCTGGTGGGTCCAGCGGAGCGCGGCACCTCGCGGACCTGAGGTAGACCTGGCAGTCCCTGGGGGGCTGCGATCTGCGCGACCGTCGCCACTTTCGAGGGCTGCTGGTGAGTCCAGCGGAATGGGGCACCGCGCGGACCTGAGGTCGACCTCGCCGTCCCCAGGGGGGCTGCGATCTGCAAAACCGTCGCCACTTCCGAGGGCTGCTGGTGGGTCCAGCGGAGTAAGCACCGCGCAAACCTGAAGTCGACCTCGCCGTCCCTGGGGGGCTGCGATCTGCGAAACTGTCGCCACTTTCGAGGGCTGCTGGTGGGTCCAGCGGGCTGAAGCACCGCGCAAACCTGAGGTACACTTCGCTGTGCGAAACTGTCGCCTCTTTCGAAGGCTGCTGGTGGGTCCAGCGGAGTGAGGCACCGTGCGAACCTGGTTTAGAACTCGCCGTCCCTGGGGGGCTGCGATCTACGAAACGATCACCACTTTCGGAGGCTGCTGGTGGGTCCAGCGGAGTGAAGCACCGCGCGGACCTGAGGTAGACCTCGCCGTCCCTGAGGGGCTGCGATCTGCGAAACTGTCGCCACTTTCGAAGGCTGCTGGTGGGTCCAGCGGAGTGCGGCACCGCGCGGACCTGAGGTAGACCTCGCCGTCCCTGGGGGGCTGCGATCTGCGAAACCGTCGCCACTTTCGAAAGCTGCTGATGGGTCCAGCGGAGCGCGGCACCGCGCGGACCTGAGGTAGACCTCGCTCTCCCTGGGGGGCTGCAATATGCAAAACTGTCGCCACTTTCGAAGGCTGCTGGTGAGTCCAGCGGAGTGAAGCACCGCGCAGACCAGGGAACTGTCGCCACTTTCGAGGACTGCCGGTGGGCTCGCCACTTTCGAAAGCTGCTGGTAGGTCCAGCAGAGCGAGGCAATGCGCAGACCTGAGCGGGACCTCGCCGTCCCTGGGAAGCCATGTCATGTTGTTGCTGCCCCGCCGACGTTCCAAGCCCCTTGTCCACAATTTCTTTTTGGACCTTGCGTCTTCCTTAGTGACTCAGGGGTTCACTTAATTAATCATCGATTTTCCCTTGATTGGGGACCTGCGAACTTTCCGACTGCCGCTCGCAGAAATATATGCGCACATGTCACGTCGCCGCCTTCTCGTCAAATCTCCCAAGCTAGTCCTGCCCCGCATTGCGCAGGGGTTGGGTACGTCGCCAGGGTAATGTTCCTCGAAAAAGGAGCTGAAGAACTAATGATGTAGGTAAGCTCCCCGCTGATATATTGAATCACTGGCAATGCGCGTCGGGCTGGGGCCGACTGACGGCTGTTGCTAAGGAGGCGGGGGGGAATTCAGGAGACTCCAGAGGCCCCCAAGAGGGCCCGAAACAGGCGCCGAACGGACCCCACGGGAAGTCCTGGGCAGAGTCACACTATGGAGTCCGGCTTAAAACGTACCCCTGAGATCCTCACGGAGGCCAAGCCAGCACCCGACCCTCAGTCGGGTCGGACGCGCAGGAGGGGGAGGCTCGCAAAGGGGGGTCAGCGACTCAGCCCACGTGGCCCGTTTTCCCAGCGCCCCCCGGCGCCCGAGGCGCCACTGCACGGAGGAAAGCGCCGGGCGGCGGGACCGAGACCTGCACGCAGCAGATCCAGCACCCCCCCCCGCATCCCCCCCCCGTCGCCCGGCCCGACCCAGGAGGAGGAGGAGGAGGAGGAGGAGGAGGAGAGGAGGAGGAGGAGGAGAGGAGGAGGAGGAGTTTTTTTTTCCACCGCAGGCGCACACACCAATTCCATGTGTCAAGTCCGTTCTAAACATCTCAGCGAGCACTGGGCACCGCGCAATCAGTCATGCAAAGGAAAGGGGAGGAGCAGCAGCAGAGGCAGGGCAAAGAGAAGCGGCGGCGGGTACTCTGCTCCGAGTGCACAGGATCCCTGGCGGGCGCGCGCCCCCCCAAGGCACACCGTCCAAAAGGGGGTCACACACTCGAGCATCCGCCCCATGCCACACTCACTCCTCGGCTGACCGAGGGCCCAACCAACAGCGCAGCAGGCAGAAGCAGACAAAAAGGGGCGCGCCCCAAAACGAGAACCCAACACACAAACCGAGGGAATATCTGACAGCTGGCCTCCACAGTGCCGCGAACTTCGTCGGGAACCTGAGGGCGAGAGGGGGGCGCCCCCTCGCGCGGGGCGGCAGCCGGGGTGCCTCGAACTTCGTCGGGGACCTGGGGGCGACGGCAGGGCGCGGAGGAGGGGGGGGGACCTCCTCCGCGCCAGACGCAACGGGTGTCTGGATGCGCCACGGCTTGGCGTCGCGGGAAGGCCTGCCTACCCTACCGACGCGACGATCGATCAACGGCCGAGCGAACCAGACCGCCCGCCCGTCCGAGAACCAGTAGCTCACGGACAGCAAGAGAGGCGGGCAGGCAAAAAGAAGCGG